ACAGGTATGCGAGGGAAGAGAACGGTCGAGTCGGGTCTCACAGATGAAACATTTTAGACCTCGAAACTTCGCAGCCTTATAATAGTATTGCAGTACAGGTGCGCTGTCCTGGATAGTTCTGTCGAGTAATTTATCAATTCAGGGAGGATCTAATGCAGGGCATTACGCAGAATTAGAGTTTGCGCCGCCGCCGATACCGCCACCATCGATAGACCTAAAGGCTGAACGTGACGCTCTTCGGTGTTTCGGAATAGAACTCTAAGTGTACAACTATTGCTGACGCCCACACCGCGACCGCAGAACATGGGTGACACTGTTTTGCGCCATTCTGGCACTGATGAGAACTGGTATATACTACTTTCTCACGCTAGGCAATCGCATGGACCTATTCCTAGTTAATAAAATGCTAAATTAGGTTTTCTTCCATTCCATCGTAATCTGTGGCGTGCTTTTTTGTGAAAGCTAACCTGTTAACGCCCTATTTTCTTTGATCGTGATGCCTGAGTTTTCAAATTTCAGCACTTTGCATCTCACGCGCTTGCTCTCCGTCTTCGAAACTTCACAACGGCTGAGACAGAATTGTACAAGGCCTTTGAAATGCAAATCGCCGGAAAGTCACACCCCGCTAGCGCAAAAGATTTAAAACCAGCCGACGCATGGACGCAGATGGCTCTGGCTTCGGCCGCGATGCATCACTCCTTCGGGCACGAGTGAGTCTTCTAGCCTTTACTTCCTCCCTGTCAGGAGGGACTATTTTGCATTTCGCCCGAATCTGCTCTTTATAATACGACATTACACACCCCTTTTAGACGACAAGCTCAGTCCTTTTTGGAACAAGCCCTTCGTCAGGCATTGGAAACCAATAATACCGCCTCTTTGCGTCAAGTTCGGGTAAGCTGAATCCTATCAACTGCCTGATACCAAATTCTGTTTGACAGGCGGCACATGAGGTCATCTGTTCGTTTGGTGAACCTTTTCGATATGGCTCTTTGGATGTGGAAAAAAGGACCACTGGACCAACGGTAAGCACCCCCCTGTTTTCGGTGTTCGAGATTTCTTAAAAGCGGAAAGTTTTAACTATACATGCTCCATATCTTATCAATCCATCGACCTCATGCATTACTTGGGCTGATGTGCTGTTTGAGGCCGACAGCCCATTCTTTGGTGGCAACTTCATATTTTATTTGTGTTTCAGGAGCTTCTGTTGACTGAACTTCGCACCAAAATGCTGAAACAACTAGCAGATGGAGCTCCACCTTCAAGGTTTGTCCTTGATACTTCTTATTCTTTTTACTGATATTCGACTCCAAAAGCAGATGGGTCTGCAATCGTAAGTTTATGACACATCTTCCCCTAGTGGGCAGCATGGTAATAGGCTCGTTCTTTCGTCCATTCAGTGGTTTCTGACGGAGAAAATATTACTCTGCAACTTATACTTTATACGGCTGGAAATGGCTTGTTTAGCTAGCAAATAGGCTAATGAATGATCC